GGGCCCGGGGCCGGGTGGACGCTGCGGGTCCATCATGAAGCTGCGCAGGTAATTCATGATGACTCGCCTGAGACACACACACTAACCTCAGTGAGTTGAACTCTTCATCGGATTCTTTTACAGGACTGGCTCACTTTTCATTCATTTCAGTGACTTTAGGATTTTAATCATTCCCATGACTTTTCCAGATTTTATTGTTTTTTTTATTAATTAGGTTTTGTTAATTAATTTCCATACATTTGGTCAGATTTGAGTTAATTTCCATAACCACACACACACACACACACACACACACTAACTTCATCTGAATGAGGACATAGTGTACACTAGTGTTGAAACGTTTGGGGTCTGTAGGAATTTTTAAGTAAGTCTTCAATGCTCACCAAGGCTGCATTTATTTAATCAGAAATACAGTAAAAACAGTAAAATTGTGGTGTACACTAGTGTTGAAACGTTTGGGGTCTGTAGGAATTTTTTATGTTTTTAAAGTGAGTCTTCAATGCTCACCAAGGCTGCATTTATTTAATCAGAAATACAGTAAAAACAGTAAAATTGTGAAATATTATTATAATTTAAAATAACTGTTTTCTATGTGAATATATTGTAAAATGTAATTTATTGCTGTGATGCAAAGCTGAATTTTCAGCATCATTACTCCAGTCTTCAGTGTCACATGATCCTTCAGAAATCCTTCTGACATTCTGATTTGCTGCTCAAGACACATTTCTGATGATTATCAGTGTTAAAATAGTTGTGCTGCTTCATATTTTTGTGAAAACATATTTTGACACATTTTTTAAGATCCTTTGATGAATGGGAAATTCAAAAGAACAGCATTTATTTGAAACATAAATCTTATAAAATCTTATAAATGTCTTAACTGTCACTTTTGATCAATTTAATGCATCCTTGCTGAATAAAAGTAGTAATTTCTTTAAAAAGAAAGAAGGAAAGAAAGAGAAATAAATCTCACCAACCCCTAACTTTTAGTGGTAGTGTTCTATAGACTTCTATTGTTTTTAGTGAAATCAGTTACTATAGGCTAACTAAATAAACATAAATAAAAAAGAATTTAAATAATATACGGATGTGTGTATGTATGTTTATATATATATATATATATATATATATATGTATATATATGTATATATATATATACACACACACATAGTAGTCAACATTTGAAGTGGATCAAAAAAGATCAGCAAAGTTGTCCTAAGACAAGAACGGGTATTGTTTCAAACTTTGATGAAAGGTTTTGATCCACTTCAAATGTTGTCTATTATATATATATAAATGTTATAATAATTTCAAAAATAAATGAGTATTTATTTATTTATTTTATATATTAAGATTTCGCTTGCATATATATTTATTTATTTATTTATTCAGATTAAAATATTCAGATTCAGATTTGGCTTACTTGTGATGTCATTAATGTCCCCAAACTAAAGTCAGGTTCATCACACTCCTGTACATTGACCTCTGTAGATTCTCTCTCAGTCTCTCTCACCCTTTCAACCCACTCAGACAGACACTAGATGCATATTCATAAACCAAATGAATCTGGAGATATTCCAGAAGCCCGAATCTGGAAAGTGTGTGGCTGAGAAACGTAACTGAGACAGATAGCGGCTGTTGGGTTGACTCTGACTGATAACAGCTCAGAGAGAGTCATCCAGGTCACTTTATACTGCACTGACTGCTTCCTCCTGATCAATACAACATGAGCAGTGACAGAAGAGTGACAAACAGCAATCAGTCCGACACAGAGAGATAACGCCACTGGAACTAAAGAAAAGAGCAAGCTTTAGGGGAACAAGACATATTATTATTCATATTTATCTATCATTGTAATTATTTATTAAGTGGCATGTAAATCTCAGTGTGTATTTATAATGTTAATAATACTTTGCTCAGTTTTAATCCTTCAGATTTTAGACTGCCAACTTTAATTAGCATCAGTTTCTTTCTCATTCAGAAACTCCAGGTTACTCTGTCCAATTACCTCAGATGTTGCTTCAACTATCATCTGAGCATTTATCTTTCAAAATATTGTCATTGTTTGCATCATAACTTGCGTCAAGGGAAACATTGTGTTTATTAATGATATTTATTTATCATTAATGACTTCTTAATGAAATGGTTTGGTCTTTTCCTCCTCACACACTGCTATCATAGGACTTTCCTTTGAGGAGTCGTGAGTATTAATGTGTCGTCATGGTAACAGGCTTTTTTGAGGACTTGGCCGTTTGCCGTGCAGGAACAGACTGGCAGCCGGAGCTCAGAGATGAACAAACACACGTATAAGCAGCTCTGCAAGCGATTAGTACAAGAAAGGAGATCATAATTTTACTTTTAAATGAAATCAGATGTTCCTCTGCCAGTCAAGCTCATTTCTTTATGTCGATTGTGTTTGCAAACCAAGCGAACTAATAAACAACCTCCAGACACAGAACGACGTGCTGGAAGTTCAACTCTTGATCTGTTCAATCAGGCCGCTGAGAAAAATAGTCAAGTGAGCAGTGATTATTCAGTGAAGATGTGCTTTTAGGTTTTAATAATTTAACGATGAAGAGACATGAACTATATTTTTATATTTATATAGATTTAAAGTTTGTTTGCTGGCTTATAGCCAAAAAACTTTGACAAACAAAAAAAGTACTACTAAATCTTAAAGAGGATTTAGATCTAAATTCTTTGAAGGTTTAAATAAAGCATTAATATATCCATTTTAATATATGCTGCAATTTATATTAATATATTTTATAAAATATAACAATATATTGAATAAAATACGAAAGATTTTAGAGATGTATATTTAGTGCAAAACAGATTATTTCAAAAGAACACAATTTGTGGATGTTATAAAGTGAATATATATAAATATGAATATATATATATATTGTATAAGTATTTTCATTATATCAACGGTTTTAATGATATATATATATATATATATATATATATATATATATATATATATATACACAGGGGACTCGGGGTGCGGGT